AGTTGCATGTAAAAAAAAGCACAAAGTTTGGCTGTGGGTGAAACAGACGAGTTCAAGACAATCCTGTTATCTGTAACTGTTTCTCTAAGACAGAAAAGACATTTTGAGTGCCGTAACCTGTGCTCCGGGTGTGGCAGGCACCTTAATTAGAGTGGCTCTTGGGAGCCAGTCTAACTAAAGCACCTGCAGTGTCTCTTGTATTCAGCATCCTGCGCTTCAAAATGGTGGTGGGAGTGCTTTAACTAAAGCTGGTTCAGCTAGCTTTAATTAAAGTGCTGCTGCCACCAGTTTGAAGTGTAGGGATGCTGAATACATGTGACACTGAGGCTGCTGGAGCATGCTACTTCGCATGCATCGGAAAAGGTGTCAGGCATGTGTGTACATGCCCTTTGTGATTTATGTTGAGAGGATGGGTTTCTATCTACTCAACTTTTAACTGTTAGAAATTCCCTGTCTGCCAGATAAGAGGGCTATTCACTAGTTAAGGTGGAGCATCTTAAAGAGAAAGTAGCACACTGCTTTCTCTCTTATGGGAAAGTATCTCCTTTGTCTGGGCATTTTCCCTAGAAGAAAACAAGTAATTGAGAATGAAAGGTCATCCTTTACCCTTATGGATGTTGACCCCATTGCTCTCCCCTCTAACATGGTGATGCTCAAACTATGGTTCATGGGCCAGATTCACCCCACATAGCTATGTCATCCAATCTGTGGGGCTCTTCCTGTGTCCAGAAATTTGGCAGCTGGCAAGTCGTAGCAGCGTTAATTGCTCCAGCTCCCAGAAACAGTACATGGGGTCCCTCTGCAGAGGGATCTAGCACATGGGACCAGGTTGGGATGCTAGATTGTACCTGCTTACCAACAGCACACTGGATGAGGTCCATAGACAAATCCTGAGTACAGGATCTGGCCCATGGACCGGCCCTATACCACCCATCTGGCCTGCAGGGCTGAATAGTAGGGCTGTGCAAAATCGCATGGGCTATTTCGTTTCAATGCTGTTTTGGCTCATTTTGAGCTCAAAACAGTGAAATGGAAATGAAATGAAGGGCTTCAAAACAGCCTCAAAAAGAAATGAGGGCAGTCGTAAAGTTTCAAAACGTTTCGAGTTTTGAAGCTGAAACTGGGCTTGCCTGCAGGGAAACAGAAAGTAAGTAGAGGGAGGGGGAAGAGGGGGGAAGGACAGGATGAGAGCAGGCCTTAACACACATGCTGGAGAAGAAGCTCCTGCAGGAGAGGAAAGAAAGGCTCTGTCACAGTTTGGCTGCCTGAGATGCTGCTCGTGCTACTGTGCTAGAGCTCACCAAGTTGTTATTTTACCTGTTTTTATTTAAAGTGGTGGACCAGGCTGAGGCTGTTATTTAAAGTGGTGGACCAGAGGAGGAGGCCTCACTGGGGCACAATACCATGTCATGTAGAGGCCCAAACACCAATGAGGGTACTCCTTAACGCAGACACACAGTCACACGTCACAAGTTTTGCTTGTCAGCAACTTGAGGTGCAGTTTCCCAGAAACCCCTGCATCTCTCTCCTTGACACTTGGTAGGCTTTGTGGCATTAGCAGGGGCTAGCACACCTCCTGTTTTCACCCCCCTGTGCCTTAACGTACACGTGACATGAGTTTTGCTTTCAAGATTTTGAGGTGCAGTTTCCCAGAAGCCCCCACACCTATATTCTTGAAACTTGGCAGACTTCATGCTCTCAGAAGGGGCTACCATCACCACTGTTTTCTTCCAAATCTGCCTAAAAATAACAAAGTTATAGACAGTTTTGTGCTTCCCCATTATAGCTTATGGGCAAAACGTTGAAACAGTGTCAAAATGGCAAAGCCGTTTTGATGAAATGAAATGGAACAGTGCTTTCAAAACAAAATGAAACTCAAAAAAAATACTGTCCCATCGAAACGGCAAAATGGAAGTAAAAATGAAACACTGCTGTTTCACACAGCCCTACTGAAGATGTTGAGTATCACTGCTCTGACACACCAAAAGACAATGTTCTTTCCAGTGTTTTTCAATAAGCTGTAACCAGGCTTTTCACACAGAAGCCAGCAAAATTAAATAGTAAATATATAAAAAAGAAAGAATGCATATGGAGAGAGCAGGTAGGAAATGTGATTTTTGAAATTTAGATCCCTTAGGAATAGTGAGGAGCAAAGTTGAAGTTTCTGCTACAGCCAGTAGTTAGTTGAGATAGCTGAAAAGACTGAACACTTCTTTGAAGTTCCTTTTCACAAAGTTCAGAACGATCTGAGTTTTCATTTTCTTTAAACACTTTCACCTGAGTTATTTGCTCATTAACCCAAAGGGAAAAGGGGCCAGAAAGTTTTCTAGAAAAAATGAAAAATCATGAAAAAGAAAAAAAGAAATAGTAAATTTAAAATGAATTTTGTGGGAAGAAAGTATTTTTTGAAAAACAAGGCTATTTTGTGTGGAAAGCTTCTAGAAACTATAGTAAACAAGATTATAAAAAAGATTAATTAAATAGTATTAGATGGGAATAAGGTGTGAGGGATATAATGAAAGAGAAACATGAGCCCATATTCTCAACTTCTAAAGCTCCAATGCCAGTGGTGCTTCTGTTACAATGTACAAGATGGATGTGACCCAAAGTTTGTGTGGTGGGAAACTGGGCATGTCCACACTTCCCAACATTGCATATTCTATAGCACTATAGTACAATGATATAGAAATGCCCCTTGTACTCATTACAATGCTATGCTTATTCAAGTACCTAAACAGCAGTGTTCCTGTACCCATTTCCTCTGGCCACTAGAGCCATGTTCAGGTACATTGACCATTGCAATGAAAAGCAGTTAGGCTAGAAATCCTGTATAAAGTACCAAAAGGAAACTAATATATGCAGCATTTAACTGAGGCAGAAGCTTGGTAGTGGCCCACTGCAAATTTCCCTACAAGATTTCTATTTTCTTTGTGAAAAAAGAAAGATAGTTGAAAAGAATCTTGCAATATTCTTGGGAAAAAAGATACTTTTAGCTTCATTCTGTGAAGTATTGACTAATCTGGCCTCAGCCCAGCAAAACACTTATACATGTGCTCAGCTTTAAGTACACAAGTAGTCCTTTTAGCTTTAATGGGTTTCTTCACATTTAAAATAAGCACACACTGAAAGTATACTGGAGCCAGGGAGCTCAGCTTCTTGCTGAATGCAGCCCTTAAAGTAATAGACTTAGTGAGTTGAAGCAGTAAAGAGATTCAGCTTCACAAACACAATAAGGACAGTCAGTTTTGCTCAGATTTCTCAAATACTTTTTTGTTGTGAGAAGATTAACACTGCTTATTCACTATGCTCAACAACAAGCAGGAAGATGCAACTGACTTTCATTTACAGGTCATGAACCTTATATGTTTTTTCCCTGAAGTTAGCAACCCATAAGACAAAATGTAGTGCTTTAAGCAGGTGCAGCAGTCTATATATTAGGCATAGGGTCCTGTATTAAATTAAAAGTGGCCATTCTTACTCCAGCCAAATCCTGCAAGGCCAAAGAGAGTACATTGCCTTAATATTAGTCAGAATATTAGAACTTTTTTAGGTGATTGTAGACTGTAGGAATAGGTCCTGTACATCTGAAGACGGGTGAAATAAGATTTTGTAGAGAAGTTCTAAAACCTTTTTGCCCCTGTGGAAGAAGCTGTTTTTAATTTGACTTGATAAACAGTAACATTCTAGTGAAGACAACACAGTTTTAAAGTTTTTGCATGTGTTGGGAAGTCAAGCAGAGACTGACCTTGCTTTGTTCACTCATGAGAGCTATCAACTGCCTTGCCTTCACAAGTATTTGATATCAGGGTAGATAACTTGAGATAAGAATACACTATTTTCATCATAGTAAAGACAAGGACTAAGAGGAAGACCACAAAACTCCCCAGGTGGGATAAAAAGAGGGGCAAAGGCCTTGTCTGCTCTTAACTGCCTTTGTTAGCAGTTCTGTCAGCAGACAGATGCTACTGCTAAGCCTCCAAACTACATGCATACTCATGTACTTCTGGCAGCTTCATGCTGCCCCATTGCAGATGCAACTATTGCCAAACTGCAAAGTGCACTTTCAGAAGGCACCGAGTGCTATAGGGATCACAGCACCCAGCAGAAGGTGGAGGCATATTCCATGAAGCTCCTGTCAGCTGCCAGGCAGCTCACCAGAGGTGGTTGAATTCTGCAGCAGAAAGGCAGGGCTCCATTTCAAAGGAGCTATCTGTGGGTGCCCTCACAATTCTGCCAGCTAAACTCTGTAGTGTAGACAGAGCCTGCAGTAGCTTCAAAACACCTCTGTCTTTTTCTAATCCTGGGCTTCTCTGTGGGTCTTCCCTAGGCTTCCCATGAAACACAGCGCTGCTCAAAATCTCCATAACATTATGTATACACACTACAACGTCCCATCCGCAACTCACGCTTTCTGTCCCCAGCAACACCCTGATATCAGAGTTTAGGAGGGGTTTGTAGAGAGAGAGTCTTACAGCTCTCATCTTTGGTGTCTATGCTGGGGCTTTTACATGTTTCATGATGCCCTTTGGAATAGGGCAAAGGAGTTGGAGTAGGTGTGAGGATCTTGCCAATGAACTATAGAAACAGGAGGAGTTTGCCATTGCAAAAGCAAGTCAATATAACAGTGCCTAGCATCCAAAGAAGAAAGCATTATGACAACAATAAGGAATCTAGACTTACAGCCACTAAATTAACTGATAAAAATGAGAAAAGTGAATGAAATAACAGAATGGGCCAACATTTATCATCTAATTTGTTCTCTGATATCTATTCCAATCTAATTTAAAATTCCAGGACAATATAATTTATGGCATAACTTGTGATTTCAGTCAGCCAAGGTAGATCCTTTCAGTTGTATGTTAATTTCCTAACTTGAGTATTCAAAAAACCCTTAGAAACTCAGAGAATAAAATAACATGTGCATTTACCTTCTTCTTGTGCTTTCCATAAGGAGCTGAGAAATAGTGCAGCAGCTTCCGAAAGAGATACAGGATTTGAGTTTTGGCTGCGTGTTTCTGGAAAGAAAAACAAAACAAAACAAAGCAAAACAAAACAAACAAACAGATGTAAAGATCTGCATTTATGACTCTACTTACAGAGTTTTTTTAAAAGTTCCCTTTTCCACGCATTTTTATTTAAGTGTAATAGTAATTTGCACCAAAAATGTAGCCTAAATGTATAATTTGTCTGCTTTCATTGTTTGACAGTTTAAAGTATTCAGTAATGTTTAATTTCATTTTGTCTAATTTAATTTCTTTTTTTAACAAGAGACAGATGCAGTCAGACTGATTATGTTCAGCCCAGAGCAATTCAGGAATAATTCCACCTCCATCAGTGCAGACAGTAGCATAACTAGAGGTGTGTGAGTGGGAACTCCAACTTAGGGGATACCAACCAACCTGGAGGACGTGCAAGATTCACAGTGGCTGCTGCCACTACCACCCTGTCCATCACTGCTGTCCCAAGGCACAAAAGCCTGTTACAATTTTGAGTGTGGATACACTGGTAGCAGAGAAAGAACTCAGGCCTGTTGTCTTCATAATGTAATTTTTTAAAGGACTGAGCTGTCCAGCTCCTGATATTAGCTTCTCCCTAGCATACAATACTGGTTAAACAAAAAACCTCAGTATCCTCCAGCTATTGAACTAGCCATAAAAGCTGTAAAATGTTAAAAGGAACATTTTAATATAATGTACAATTTGAAATAATATATATACTTTTAAATGATTCCAGATGATTTTACCTAGCTGCAGTCTGTCGTATAAATCCTTCCTTTGGCTCTCGTCAGAAATAAAACGACGTCCCTCTACAAAAGCAATAGGAAAGACAATGGAAGCAAAATACTAAACCAATCTTTAAGCATGCCTTAAATCATATTGCGATACATGTTTATTCTTTTGACATATGCTGGAACTAGCAATTTTCTATAATCCAAATCCTAAATCTGAATGTTTTATTTGAGTTGTGGTCTGTTCCAAGGAGACCGTGATTTTCAGCCTTTTCCATTGTTCTGTTAAAGTTTAACAGAATTAAACTTAAAGTTTAAAACCATAGGTGAAAGTTACCAGTTTCTTCCCTCATATTCCTTTGCTGCTCCATAGCACAGCCCCTTTTTTCTCTCTTAAGAAATCAAAGCTTTTAAAGGGTCACCATTATTTTTTTAAAGAAAACATTGTCCTGTAAAAACAAATTACTTTTATGTGTCAATAATAGTAATGTGCAGATTAAGTAAAATAGAAATACATTATTCAACCTGAAAGATTCATTTAAGTCCAAGGGCCAAATTTTCTGTTTGTAAAGGTGGCTGCAGCTTTTGAAGTCAGGGGAGTTTGTAACTTACATTATTTTGGCCATACAATTATGGAGCTATTTCTCTTGGACATTTTAGGTTTTCTTCTTTAACCTATAATATTTAAATTA